GGGATTTTGTTGGATTTCTACGGGTTTTCTGGGGTTCCTGTAGGTTTTCTGGGGTTGACGCCCCCGATAAAGATCGCGATAACGCCCCGATAACTATCCCGATAACTCCCCCATAACTATCCCGATAATACCCCCGATAACTATCGCGATAACACCCCCAATAACAATCCCGATAACTCCCCGATAACTATCGCGATAACACCCCCAATAACAATCCCGATAACTCCCCGATAACTATCGCGATAACGATCCGGACAACGATGGCGATAACTCCCCGATAACACTCCCGATAACTATCGCGATAACGCCCCGATAACGATAACAATCCCAATAACTCCCCGATCACTATCGCGATAACGATTGCGATAACTCCCCGATAACACCTCCGATAACAATCCCGATAACCTCCCGATAACGATCCCGATAACTATCGCGATACCGCCCTCGCTAACAATGCCGATCACTATCGCGATAACGATTGCGATAACTCCCTGATAACTCCGATAACACCCCCAATAACAATCCCGATATCTCCCCGATAACTCGCCGATAACAATCCCGATAACTCCCCGATAACTATCACGATAACTATCCCGATAACTCCTTGATAACTCCCCAATAACTATCGCGACAACACCCCCGATAACTATCGCGATAACGCCCCGATAACAATCCCGATAACTCCCCAATAACGATCGCGATAACTCCCCGATAACAATCCCGATAACGATCCCGATAACAATCCCGATAACTATCTCGATACTGCCCCCGATAACGATCACGATAACGATCGCGATAATGCTCCCGATAAGGATCCCCATAACACCCCCGATAACCTCCCGATAACTATCCCGATAACGGTCGCGATAACTATCACGATACCATCCCCGATAATGATCCCGATAACGATCGAGATAACTATCCCGATAGCACCCCCGATAACGATCGCGACAATGATCCTGATAACTATGGCGATAACGCCTCCGATAACGATCGCGATAACTCCCCTGATAACTATCACGATAACGCCCCCGATAATACTCCCGATAACTATCGTGATAACGATCCCGATAATGGCCCTGATAACG